GCTGGTGGTGGGCCAGACCAGTGTGTTCCCGCTCCTAACCTACCTCCCCTCTCAGAGGTGGGGGGCTGGGGAAGGGGTGAGGCTGAGCCAATGTCAGCCCTATGAACTGGGCTGCAGTGGAGCATAGTGGAGGGTCCCGAGCTGCAGTGGAGGGCCGGCCACGGGGAGTGGAAGAGGTGCACGGCTCCAATGGGGGCTTTCATCCTGTGCCAGGCAGACCCCAGATGGGGGAGGGGAGAGCCAGGCAAGGTCCAGGCCTGTAAGGTTCTCTTCTAAGCACACTTTGCATCGCTCCCCCTCACAGGCTGGGGGCTGGGTGTGGGGAGGGGCGGGGCTGATGCCAACCCTGCTTCCTTGGCTACTGTAGGGGAAAAAAGCCCACAATGCTGAGGTTTTCCTTCTCCTTGACCTGTACAGATGGAGCTTGGGGGTCCATTCCCTTTCCCCCCGACCCCATTCTGCTGGGCTGACAGGTGCTGGCAGGGAACAGAGGCTTTAGTGTCTTAGCTCTGTGATAGCTGGGGGAAATTATGCTAAGCCAGCCCTGCTCTGCTGAAGCAGATAATGCAGCCCAGGGCTGCAAAGTATCCTGGGATGCTGAGGGAAAGTGAGTTAACTTGAATTGGGAAGGGATCTGGGACAGAAGTCCATAAACCGGCTTGAACTAAATCAGCTAAATTTGATACTACATCCAACCAGGTTTATCTTAAACCTGTTTCAGCCATTGTGAAAGCAATTTATGCTCACTGAACTTCTGTTCTGTTAGAGGTTCATATCAGTTTTGGATCACTTAAACCAGTTTGTGTGCAACTTCTGTCCCTAGTCTAGGTAGTCAGGGAGAAATAAAATACAGCAGGTGGTTGTAATGAAAGCTCTAACCCAGGTTCAGCTGAAACTAATTGCAAGAAGTGAGATAAGTGTATGAGTAGATGATTAACCAGTAACTTTCTTTTCTCTACAGATCCCACAGATCAGTTATGCCTCAACTGCGCCAGAGTTAAGTGATGACAGACGTTATGATTTCTTCTCACGAGTGGTCCCTCCAGATTCCTTTCAAGCACAAGCGATGGTGGACATCGTAAAAGCTTTGGGGTGGAATTATGTGTCCACTTTGGCATCTGAAGGAAATTATGGAGAAAAAGGAGTGGAATCTTTCATGCAGATTTCCAGAGAGGCAGGTAGGCAAAGAGAGAACCAAATGCAGTGGAGAGAGATTTTACACATTGTACCATTTTTCTCTGAACAAATATTTGATTCTAAAATTGTTCCATTACTTTACAATTCCTCTGTAATGGCCCCCTGATATTCTCATTCTTGCACTGCTCATGGGGTTTCAGAAACCAAACACTTGAGGGTTTGAAACTTGAGTGGTTTTCGTGCACCGTTTAGAAAATATAAAACACTGAATTCCATCAGGCTTCTGGTATTTCACAGTACTCAACATTATATTATGATGACATGGTGCAAGACATATTTTAAAAATATTGAACTTTTATCTATTCACAGTTAGAAATTCTTTGAAGGCTGCAAATTATTAGACACTGACTCATGTCATGCTATTCCAGTCCACCATTCAAAAAAGTCACGAGAATTTGTAACTTTTCTTTCTCCTCATTTTTCTGGGTCATTTCATTTGAGGAAATTCAGTCTCCTCTACTTGAAAGGGAAAAGCCTAGTACCTTGGGTAATGAGTCAATTAGATCTAGTCAGGAAGTACTCCATGACAAAGGAATATTTGATGTTTCAGGGTTTCTTTTGCTGCTCAGACTTCTTATGACTTCAGTGGATGATGAAATAGAATTCCCCAAAAGTTCTGGACTTTAAATGAAAGGACTGACATCGCTAACTATACTTAAAAATGACGACCCCAATGGAACAGGCAAATAGAGGGTTAGAGCCTATTCCCCCAGTTACCTAATTGGATTCTACCCCAACTGAGTTCCTGAAAATGGTTTTTGCAAAAGGTGGATTAGTTCTCTCCTGCTTGCAGCTTTTTGTGATTTATCCTTAAGGCTATGATAACGGCATGTTCCTGAAGTAGGTATGCTAATGGGTTTTTAGAGACTTGGGCAAAGTGTAAAAGGATCACATTTGGACACCTAATAGGTGGAATAGGCCTATAGTGTTTTATGCTGTCTCAGGCCAATATCAATTCACAGACTTGTACTGAAATAATCTGTGTCAGTCAGGGTGTGGAGTGGCCTGATTCCTGATGACAGAGCTGGGCTGACAGAGCCCTTTAATATTGGTTGGTTATACCAGCATAAGCACCATAGCTTATCGTATTCCTGAGAGTAGCTTGGTCAACATAGGTACGTCCCTAGTGGGATTGCTTAGTGTGCGTAGCCAAGCAGTATTGCTATAGTGATTAAGCGGCCCTTGCGTAGACATAAATATAAATTGACTCAGTCTGGGAAGTGAAGGGGATCCTGGAGGATCTGTGGGTGCATCTACATGAGACGCTATGTCACTGTAGCAACAAGCTATTGCGCCGTAGCTTGTTGCTACAGCAACGTAGCATCACTGGGCATGAACCGTGATGTCGATGCTACTGCACAGTGGCAACGAGCTAGTGCGCAGTAGCTCTTTGCTACTGCGCAGTAGAAGCTAAAAATAACCGTGCAGCAACAGGACTGCCTAGTCACTTAGTACTTGCTTACGCAAGTACTAAGTGACCTCTCAGTAACAACTGCACAGTTGGCTGCTCATGTAGACGCAGCCTGTGAGGAGTTAACCACTCACAGTTGTTGGTATTTCTAGATTGAAATCATGTACAACAGGTAAGGGTAGGAACTCAAAAAATGCCTCCCATTATCAGGGGTTTATATAAAATCCATCTCCGTGGACATATAATTATAGGTTCTGATAAAGATTCACAGATTAAATAGACCTGACTGTTTCATTATGAACATTTCATTATTGTTATGGCAGGTTTTGCTGTTCACAGGAGAGAACCTTGACCTATCATTGTTCGGTGGGTAAAACTTCACTGGGATAATGACTGCAGGAGCCGTAATTTACTCACCACTTTGATAAGGAAATATCAGTCTGCAATGAAAGGATTATAGTAGGGTTTATGTGCTCTCAAACCAACATCTCGGGTTTCCATTCTCCATGCTGTTATAATACTGTTTAAGCAGCGTGCCCCATGCTTTTGCAGATTGTCTTTATTATCTGCAAGCTGAAGAGTGTCAGCCTGTTCACTGACTCCTCAAACTGTCATTGAGTAATTCACTGCATCTCATTCATCAGAATAATCCAAGTCAGCATTGCAGAGGGAGGGGGCTTTCGAAAGAAGATTCTAGAATTGTTTTATTATGCTGATATTACCGAGGACAGCTGTATTTGCATAAACTTCTCTGTTCATTTGAATGCATATGTCTGTGGTATTAATGAAAATGGTTTTGGATATAATGCCACAGGAAGTGACAAAATGCCAGTATTTATTATAATTTAAACTTTGCAAGCAACCGCTGTGGCAAAATAATAGAGGGAATACATCTTCTACATTCAAGAACAAGTTGTAGCTCTTTTATAACATACTGTCCTGCAGATACTTTATAGAAATATCTGAAATAGATGTTCATACAATGAATGTGAAAAACAACCTACATTTAAAAAGAAAAATCAAGTGTTACAGATGCCCTGTTAAAAACAGTGTTGTATGCTTGGTAATATAGGTCACTCCTACAACACTAAGAAGCTGAAAAGCAGAGTACATAAACTTATATAAGTAGCCTGTCTTGTCTGGAAAGTCATATCATATAATCTTCACCGTTATCTTAGATGTAGTACAGTATCATTTTCCTCTCTGGACTGCATGGAATTTGTTCTATGTTGCACCAGTACAGCTTAAGTGGAATTCTAAGTGGATTTAATACCTGACAGAAATTTCCCCAGATCCTTTAAAATCCTAGGAAATCTAAGAATATCCTATTGCCTTAAATATTTTATGGAGCAACAATTGAACTTTAATGTCAGTATTTAATTCTACTAAATATTGCCTGAATCAGATACAGTGGAAACAGGATTGTTCCATCTCCCTGGAGATTGATTGTAGCTATGTCCTAAACCCTGTTATGAGGCAGTGCTACTCTATATATCTCATATTACTCTATATCCGTATATAATGTAAAGTGCACATGTTTAATCAGATGGTCAGCTGATTACTATGATATTAGGGTTTGAGATGAGTCCTTCGATGAAATGATTAAGGGGCAGTGATTTTGCTAAGATTTCCGTTTGGTTGACTTGCTGGCTTTTGTACCTGTTTGTCTGAGTGCTTTTTATGTAGTTCAAGTGATCATCAATTCATGTATACACAAATTAATAAGTAATGAAAAACAATAGCAGGAGCAGTAATATGGAGAGAGAAATCTCTTTCCATCGGGGCCATCGAAAGAGATTTGCCTACTGAAGGGTTAAGTACATTTGAATATGTTCAAGTAATGTGACTGCTCAAAGTAGTCAAAGCTGACTCTTCAACACCCTCTCTTGCTTTCCTCTTGACACACATGGGCTTCACAAAGAGTTTATTTTGGGGAAGAAGACAGTCCGTCCCATAGACACTAACGAGTGTATCATCCTCTGTCTCAAATCTGTGGCTAATCCAGAATTTCTGGGTTGGCAATTTAGCAAGGTTCACAGGCATTGGAACGGCAAGTGGATAGTGCTATCCATCTTGGCGTGTTAAACATACTTTCAAAATATAAAGACTTTGCCTCATCCATTCATTTAATAATTCTTCCCAAAGTGACTTTTATTATGAGTACTTGAAGCTAGTTTGAATATGTCATTTTGACAGGAGGAGAAGATTTGAATCACCCTCTGCAGTCTGTGGGATTAATAAATTAGGGAAGTGCTCTAATTATGGAAAATCTAAAGGACAATTTCAGGTTATTAATGAAACTAGAGAATACGCAAAATTCAAAGATTACTTTATCTTTGAATTTTTTTTAATGATGAATCCGCACCACAAGGTTAATTGCTGACTATAATAATATATACATGGAAGTCTTCAGTGATAGACCACATGGCTGTACTGTACTTTACATTGGCCTTCTGACAGGACCTAGTTTTTTATATTTACTTATTATCTCATTTCCTCCTTCTAGCTTCAGATCTTCTCAAATTCCATAAACAAGGTGTGATTGCCTCCTATACTGGGGACATCCCCTGGGGTTCACTGCACAGGTTGGTGGGAAGGAGGTCATAAAACAAGGGCATTACTGCCTCTCGGGCTCATTGCTGTTGGGTATCTGCACAGCTCCATGTCCACCATGTCTACTTAGGTTTGAGCATTTGCTCCCAGATGACATGATTTGAGCAGAGATTTACGGTCACTGTTTGCACAAATCACTGGTGCTGTTTTAAATCAAGCATTACCTTTCCAGCGGTGTTGTATCTTCTAAGGAGTAATTAGGAGTAAGATTTGAAAGTGGTGTGTGGAGTAGCAAAATCAAAAACTAAATAATCTTCTCTCAGAATGGATTTAACAGCCTTTGTCCTTAAATAGGATTCCCAGCACCCTTAGCAGTTTCCTCTCTCTAACTCTTTGGATAGATTTTGCCCAAGTTAACTTTTTCAAGTATTTCTTTAGCACATTCTGTTTTCAGGTACTTTAAGCATAGTATGAACAATTAAGTCTCAGTTACCTTCTGTGCAGTAGGAGGTTGGGTAAAAACATAAGTGACCTTTCAAGTGATAATCAAGAGAACCCACATATCCAGAATTCCTTTTCTCCCTTTAGTCTATTAAAAGGTTTCAACTGAGAAACATCTTTTTGTTAAAAAAAAAAAAAATATATATATATATCTTTTGCCCCCGAAAAAAATTGCATTAGAGTTTTGTTTTCAATGTTGTTCTTATATTTACAATACTTATGTGCAGTGAAGGCTCTTCATGCCTAGTGCTTACCAGATAATGTATGGTGGCCCACCCAAATTCAGATGCACCAAACAGTTTAATACTTGCAGGTAGATATTCTACATACATTTGACAGCACACTAAAACTGTGGTGGCTTTTGCTCGTTTCAGTACCTTTTAAAATGTAGTGTTTAAAATGTAAAATGAGCTTACTCTCTAGAAAAGGTATTTTCTAGGGTTGGCTGGTAGGTGGAGAGGTGGGTATGTTTGTTTAACCCAGTGTTTCCCAACCAGTGTGCTGCAGCACAAAAGT